TCTCCCCTCTTTCAGCTTAAAACCATCCCCCCTTGTCCTGTCGCAGCAGGCCCTGCTAAAAAGCCTGTCCCCCCCTTTCTTGTCGGCCCCCTTTCAGCACGGCAAGGCCGCAGTGAGGTCTCCCCGCAGCCTCCTCCTCTCCAGGCTGAACCCCCCCAGCTCTCAGCCTGTCCTCCCAGCAGAGCTGGGCCACCCTCGGAGCATTTCGGTGGCCTCCCCTGGCCCCGCTCCAACAGCCCCATGTCCTTCCCGTGCTGAGGACCCCCGAGCTGGACGCGGGGCTCCAGGGGGGTCTCCCCCGAGCGGAGCAGAGGGGCAGAATCCCCTCCCTCGCCCCGCTGCCCACGCTGCGGGGGATGCAGCCCAGGAGACGCTTGGCTTTCTGGGCTGCCAGAGCACATGGCCGGCCCATGGCCAGCTTTTCATCCCCCAGCACCCCCAAGGCCTTCTCGGCAGGGCTGCTCTCCACCCCTCCATCCCCCAGCCTGTGCTGATACCGGGGAATGAAGGGATTGGGGGGTAAATATTGTGTATTATTAAATTACAGTTGCACAGCTCACGATATGAATGAAAATCCCTTGGCTTCTTTCCCCATCTTTCCGCCTGCACTGCTGGCGTTACCTGTGGCTGAAAACCGCGGGGTTCTCTATTGCCCATTCAGCGAGATGGAGAGCAGCGTCCCAGGTGACGAGCCCCGTGGTTCCTCCAGAGATGATTGCCACGCTCTCGGAAAGGGTGACACATTCTCCCGTGGGCTGGAGGACACGCGCACGAAGAGAAAGATGGATCAGCACAGACAACGGATTTTACAGTTCATGATCAATATTAGCGCCTGGAAAAAGGTAGGAAGCACTTTGGGTTTCTGGGGGGTTACTTTTAAAGCCAATTATTGCTTAGATCAGATGATGATAAGTGATTTATAGCAATGCAGCATTAGTTCTTACCAGTAAGTAGTTTTTGTAACAGTGACTAGTTTCTTCTTCATTTAAAATACTTGCCAGTGCATCATACAGCTCGTCCAGGGGTTCAGCGGCTGTGGATTCATGCTGTGCGAAAGAGAACGGGGCAGCTTCAGGTAACAAACCGTTCCTCACGACACAGAAAACGTACGCGCCTCAAGTACCATTTCAATACACCGCAGTATTTACACTGAATGCTATTTTTTGTTAATACAAATAATTCAGCTTGGCCCCTAATGTAAAACTGGTATATTTTCAAGAAAAAAAATAGAGTTGCAACCAACGTGAAAAGCAAGCACTACCTTTTTGATGAGTTCCGTTAGAAAGCATCTTCTGTACTTGGTGGACGGGGGATATTTTACACACAGAGGGTGGAGAATGGTCTGAAACAACAAAACGACGACTGCAATTGAAACCAGTTACCACGTGAGGATTTAATGAAGGGCAGTAAGGGGCCAGAGAAAGACACGGGAGCCGTTGATTGCCCTGTGTGTCATGAAACGCCTTGCGATTCGGTCTGTGGCTAAAAGAAGCGATGCTGAGCCAGAAAATGAAATTTGGGGATTTCTGATCAGTTCGTTAGTTTACAGATCTCCGGCAGCAAATGCATTTTTCACTTTTCAGAAAGGAAATACCAGAACTGAGCGCTAAGAGAGTCCAATTAGCTCTAATTCGCTTTTCTCTTCTCTCTTTTTTTGGTTTGCTGCCTTATTTGTGGTTTGCTGCCTGTGTGCGAGGTTTAGGCGCCCGAAGGGGTCACCTCCTCTCCACCCTCAGGGCACCCAGGCCCGGACGGCCTTGCTCGTGGCATTGAAGACGTCTGCGCTCAGGCGCACGGGGCTTCGTTTTCGCAGGATGACCGACTCGGCGTCCTGGGCTGGAGGGGACCCGCACGATCGTGGCGCCCGACTCCTGTCCCTGCGCAGTACGGCCCCGCGTTCACACCCTGCGTCTGAGGGCACCGATGCTTGGAACAGCTAAATATCAGGGAGAGGAGGAAATTCGCTGTCGTGCTGGGCCCAAAGAAAAACCGTGACACAAAGTCGCTTAATATTTGTAATTATGGGCCAAAACCAGCACTTGCGGTGGTTTCGAGGCGGCCTTGCCGGTGGATCCCCCTTACCTTGTGCAGAATATCGGCGAGCAGGGGCGAACGCGGTGAAGTCCGCAGGGTTTGTTGGAGTTCCTAAAAGAGAGGGGACAGAGCTGAGGCCCGCCGCTGCCTCCGGGGCC